TCAGTGGCCTGTTCTGTGGTCCTGAGGACAAATAAATAGATCGTACATTTGTCTTTTATCTGAACAGCTTGATTTCTTTGGCCAACAAACTCTATAACTGAAATTAAATTCTTCAGAGAATTCCAGCTTAGTTTATAATTTTATAACTAGCTGCATTGTTCTTCCTGTATTCGTCTGCTCAGATGATAAATTAGCTATGAATGCTCGGCTTGGAGTGCTTTTCTTGCATATGCAATTAAGTGTTATTTAACAAAGATAATGCCAATTTCCAATCGGAATTTCTTCTTGAAGTTCAAAATTAAAGGGGTGTTGAAGGAAGCTTTGCATATCATTATATTTATTACCATGGCTAATGTAGTTCTGCTCAGTCTTGCTGAAACCAACAATTCATCTGTAATCAGTCAGTATTCCCAAACCTCATTTAGCTTAAAGAACAACAGCAGTAATAAGTTTTTATAGCCACTCAGATCCTTAATACTGCTTAATCAGTGCTATCTCTGACTCCCTTTGGCAGCATGGGTGGAAAGAGGATAGTAAAGTGAGCAGAGATATATTGTTGCACATAATTTCATGGGATGAAACTCTACCCCACTTATACCCATGGTTCAAATCCCTTGGGTATTGAATGCACAGTCTGATGAAGTGCCCTGTTTCTTTTGCATTCCCATCCTATTAAATGGTTAAAGTCTAGCCTGTAAATAAATCCTCTGCTTGGGAGAAACCACAAGCAATATTCTTCTCTGACCAGAAGAACTCCATAATAAAAAATGTCTCAATGGCTCTGTTTACAGTGACTGCTTGAATCAGCAACATGTTCTGTGGTTAGTTCTTTCTGAATTAATTTTCTTCTCTTAGCGGTTGTTAAACCCTATCATATGCAAGCTTATTTGGAAATGATTCTTATTAGCTTCAGTAGGAAAAACTTGCCTGATTCTTGTATAATCCTATACATATTTATCCAGGAATACTCTGCTGAATATGGTAGGGCTTATTTCTATTCAGAGGATTGCAGAATTGTTCTTGTAAATCACCTTTTAATCAACCAAAGGAAGAAACATTCAAGGGAAGTCTTTCAGATGTTCAGCTTCCATCATGACAGCAAAGCAAATAATCTAGGGAAATAATAAATCTATGCAAATGGAAGGCTTTCTTTAATTGCTTGCACCAATAGCCTATTACAGAGAGAAGACATTTGTCCAGTACTGATTGGAAGGGGTTTGTATAATAACTTTGTGCATCTGTGTTTTACAGAAGGAAGCTTCTACCTGAACTTTGTTGGGCAGTTTATTTTTAGTTTATTAAATTTCTACTCTGCCCATCTCATTTAAGTGACTCCTGATGGCTTACAACAGCATAATAAAACAATATAAATACATGAATAAAAGCATACGTTAAAAACAGTTAAAATAAGTACAATCAGGTTGCTGTTTTCAGAGTCTGTTTCCTTGCGGTACCCATTTTCATAAGCAGGAACCATCATATGCAGTACAATTTTGTAAAAGATAAACGGATCACTTGGAAATGATTTGGGAAATACTGGCCTATTTACTTTTGACAGACTGTTCTGTTGATGAGGAAATGGGAAGAGCCTATAAGACATTTTGTTTTCCCAAGGCCAAGACTGAAGCTTTGAGAAGTTTTCAGTCAGTGCTGACAGTTCTGAATGAGAGAAGCCCAGTTGTGAGAGGAAATGATGTGATGTGGTGCAAATGAACAACCAGTTTAAAAGCAAGTTAATAAACAAAAATTGCAGACACACTATTTTTGAAAACCTTACATATATCTCTGGGTGGTATAATGACTCGATGGTTAAAACACTGGGTTTGTTGGCTTTCCTTGAGTTCAAGACCTGAGCATCATGCAATGAAATGAGCACCAATTTTCACCTAGCAGTTCAAAAGCATCAAATGCAAGTAGATAAATAGGTACCACTTCAGTGGAAAAAAACAATGCAATATCATGCTGGCCACATGACCATGGAAATGCCTTTGGATAGCAGTGGCTCAATGGCGTTGAAATGTAGATGAGCACTGCACCTAGAGTCGGCAATGACTAGCAGACTAAAATATACAGGGCTTCCTTTTCTTCCTTACATACTATCTCAGTTTTTGTAAGATTTCATCCCTCAAAGATAAAAATATTTACAAGTAAATAAGGCCTTTTTTTACTGGTGCTTCTAGCTGTTTATTTTAGTAGCTGGTGGGAGGAGAGGAAGATGGAATGAATGAGGCCCCCAGGGAAAATTAATGTCACTTTTTCTAATGTTCACATTAACAAAAACACTGAGAAAGTTTCAAATCCAAGCATCAATTTCTTGATACTGTACTTATTTTAATTACAGATTGTTCTCACTTAACAGCTTAACCATCAAAGTTATGATATAGTTCCCCAGAGCTACTTACGACCTGTTTTCAAAGTTTTGATAGCCAAAACGTACACCCCACCACCCAGCCCTGGTCTCATGATTGCATTTTGGCAGCCAGCTTGCATTTACAGTCATTTACAGCATCCCATGGTTTGTGACCACAATTTATGTCAGCCTTTGCCAATTTCTGGTGTTTACTTCTGGTTTCTGGCAAAAATACTCATTGGGGGAAATGGTTCACTTAACCACTGCAACATTTGTTTAATTGTTCTAACAATTATGGTGTCCATTTAATGATGACTGAAAAAAATTGGGTGTAGTCACATATTTAACAAATGAGATGATTTAACAATCATAATTCTGTTCTCAGTAATGGTTGTAAATTGACCTATATTCACATTTATTTATTCTTCATATGGACAGTATTTTCTTTGCTGAAGAAGTATCATTGTGATGCTTCTGGTGCTGCTGATGAAGAATATATGAGAATTCCATAGTTTCTAAATGTACTTAGAAACTAAGTACATTTATATGTGTGAGTGTAATTGGGTAGGTTACCTGTGGCCCTATCACAGCCCTCCATGATCCTGGAATTAAGCCAGAATAGTAGTGAGAGTAAGTGATTGCTCATAAGCTTTGCATGCAGAAAACATCAGATTTGGACCTTGATATCAAGATGATGAAATTCAGGGGAGCCACTGATGTGTAGCATGGACAATACTAAGCTAAATGAACTCTGAGGATGATTAAGAAACTAGAAATGTAAGCCATAAAAGAGAAATTATGGAAACAGAATGTTTAGCCTTGAGGAGAATGAGAAAGTCTATGGTAAACTCTTAAAATTCCTGGAGGGATGTCAAAAAGAGGCCAAGAGCCATTCTGTGCTGAGAATTTAGGATATGATATACTGGTCTTTAATGACAAGAAGCCACATGCGGATTAGATATTAACAAAAGCTTTCTAAAGGTAGTTCCAATCTTCAGATACTCAAAATAGATAGCTGGAAGGACATGCAATTTATATCCTCTGCAGTTTACTTTAACATTTCAATCTTCTTCCAGTTTCCATGTGGTGAAATTTTGAGTGCTTCTAGTGCAGGTTATGCAGGTCTCTGCATAACATGTTGAGCTGGTTTCTGGAATGTTCCAAAATGGCACAGAATACAGGAAGTAATATGACAATCTCTTCTTCTTTACTCTGTATTTCCGAATGTCCAAAGTTGCTGAGATATGTTTGTATAAATTGGCTCCTAAACTATTAAGAGATAACGTATTGTTATCTCAATAAAAGAGGGCAGTGCACTTCGCAAACAATGTTATCACTTATTCATACCACTTCATTTGATTGTAAGTTTCATTGGCTTTTCTTCTTTCTAATATTCTATATAGAAAGTGAAAAATAAAGGTAATTCAGATTTTTAAAAAATACTTGGAATCTGCAGGTTTTTGTTTGCAAATTAAAAAAAACATACTGCTAATTACTAATATGACATGTTTATATAATACGAATAGTATTGCATTTAATAAAATATCAGCAACATTGCCTGCTAATACCAAGAATAAATATCAGCCCAGATTATATTATTTCCATACTGCTGCTTACTTGTGAACTTTATTAAGATGTATTTAGAGCACATTATTTTCCTTTGTTTTTCTGCATATGCCTACTCAGAAATACATTAGATTAAACCTGATGAGGGTTTGGTCTCAGATGAATGTGAAATAGTCTGTTGGAAACATTTACATCCTTGAAAAGGTCGTTTTTCTTACCTGATGGAAAGATAACTACAGCTCTTTGGAAAACACCATCAATGGCCTCTCGAACACTGTCCCAAAGGTCCTATGACGTGTTTGTCTGACTGTGCAATTTTCTCAAACAAAGGCAGATAATCTGCTGTTGGACTCAACATCTTCCTGCCAGCTTCTGCTACTGGCAAATTCAAGATTCAGGAATCCTAGTCTCAGAAAGACCTCAAGGGATTGTGTCAGTGAAAGGGCAGCAGACCTCTGATTTTGCTGCTCTCCATTTCTTGGAGAGCAGCAAATATATATATTGGTAAATATATATTGGTAAATGGTAAATATATTGGTAAATATAATAACTCCACCATTTAGCTGAAACAGTCTCTTTGATGCTGCAAGGGTGAGGGAAGAGAAACCTGGGAAAGAGTTTTGTTAAAAATAATTTTAGTAAAATTTTCAGATAGAAAAAGAAAAAGACAAAAAGTTACTGAAAAAAGTGTAAGAAAATGAGAGGAAGGCAAGGAGGGGGCAGGAGAAGGAGGAAGGAAGGGGAAAGAAAGAAAGAGAAAGAAAAAGAAAGAAAGAAACCCCACCCTTGTCCCCCTTCTTGAGAAAGATTTTTGTGACCTTTTTCCTACTTCGCTTCACTTATCTGCCTATTGCTGGTGTGGCCTTCAGCACTGCAGCTGTTGGCCAACTGATTGCTCTTCCGGTAACTTACATTTTAACCTGGAGATAAAATCCAGATTTTTCTGATTGTTGAAACATAAAGAAAAGAGGTAACTCCTAAAACCTGTGTCAAGCCCTCTGCTGTGACAAATTTGCTGACAGTGCTAAGCATCTACCATTAAATGACAGTCATCTCACATTTCTTCTTTTTTGTTCTCTTTTAGATATTTTACTTTTACTGAGAATTGGACACAGCAACATACCTTAGAATTTCAAGATGGACTTGACAAAGCAAATGATAAGAAATCTCTCATTGAACTGAAGTTGTATGTGTATGCATGATGATCTGTGAATGTAATATATAAATAAATAATTATGGGATAATATTGTAAAGATGATTGTTGATGCATAATTATTAATCAAATTCCATTCTGGCTTGGTGCACATTTTTCACAGAATAAAATCTTTGAACTTTGTATTTTTTCTGATTTAATGTTTAACATTGTGCTTTTCAATTGCTTTTACTTAGAGCAGTGATGGCGAACCTTTTAGAGACCGAGTGACCAAACCGCAACCCCAAACCCGCTTATTTATCATTGGGTGCCAGGTGGGCGTGGTCCACTGGGTAGTTGTGGCTGCAGTGGTCATGGTAGACTGGGTGAGTGTGGCCAAAGTGGGCGTGGTCACCTCGATGTTGCTCGTAGGGAGGGATGCCTGTGGGGGCCAGGTAGGGTTAGGGGAGATCCAGAGGGTCTCTGGCAGGTGAGGCAAGGTAAGGTGAGGCAGGGCAGGGGTGCCATTGCCGCAGGGCAAGGCAGGGCAGGGGCGGGACAGCTGCTGCCTGACACCATCAGCCCCCGCACAGAGGCCAGTGAGCGCATGGGGGCCAACGGTGTCCGTCAGCTGCCACAGCCTGCCGGCCCCTCGACCGGCACACTCTGGGGCTCCGCAGCCTGCCACCAGCAGTTAAGAGAAGCATAGATGCTGTGGGTCATGCCCGGGAAAAAGGAGAGCATGCGAGGCCAGAAGGGATGGGATGGGGGGAGGGAAAACAGCCATGCTGGGATGCATCCGGCCATGTGGGACCTCGGCGAGTTAGCGGGCAGCTGGTTAAAGAGGGACAGTTGCCATCTCCGGGGCATGGCACGCGTGCCCACAGAGAGGGCTCTGAGTGCCGCCTCTGGCACGTGTGCCATAGGTTCGCCACCACTGACTTAGAGTAACCATGAAATGCCTGTCCCTTATGTTCTATATTTCACATGTCCTTATGGCAATGTTATAATATGCCTGTGGTAGTGTTACTCGAAACTTGTATCTTGAATATAAATACAGGTAGGTTGGATCTGATGCTGATGAAGCAATATTTAGGACTGAGCACTAAGGCAGAGAAGATAAAAACCAGAAAGACTCATCTTCAGGATGGAACAAGATATTACCTTTTGGCTCTGCGACAATTTGTTGAATTTTAAATTTGGCTGTATTTTTTTTTAGTACAGATAGTTTTCAACTTACATCCATTCATTTAGTGACCTTTCAAAATTACAGCAGTGCTGAAAAAAAGTTATTTACAACCCGTACTCACATTTATGACTGTTGCAGCATCTCTCAGTCATCCGAACAAAATTTGGGTGCTTGGCAAACAATATGTATAGATGATGGTTGCAGTGTCCTGGAGTCATGTCATCACCATTTGTGACCTGCTCAGTTGGTTTCGAACAAACAAAGTCAATGAGGAAGCTGGATTTGCTTAATGACTATGTAATTAACAATAGCAGTAATTCACTTAACAACCATGGGAAAAAGGTGGTAAAATTGGGTGTGACTCACTTAACCACCTTAATTAGTCATGGAAATACTGGTTGTAATTGTATTTGTATTTTGAGGATTGCCTGTAATTCAAGACCGCTTTTATCATTTAGGATTTTGCAGTGATTGAGAATGTTCAGTTCTTTTTGGAGTGCTTTTCAGTGATCCCTGTCCAAATTTTCATTCAAGTCTTTCATACTTTAAAAATAGTGTTTCAAAGATAAGTTGCTTTGATCTTTGTGATAATAGTTATCAAAATTGTGACCAGAAGAACACCAATAGCAAGAGAAGTTTATCTTCTCCCATATTATGTTTGTCTCCTAAGAAAACTATTCCTGGAGAGAAATGTCACTAACCTCTAAAAGTTTTATTTATTGCAAGTATATTTATTTTAGGATGTTCATACTGTAGTGATTTTCAGTCTCAATCACAGTAGAAAACATTTAAATGATATGAAATAAAGATATTGAATTGAAAAATTAAACCATACACATAAACAACCATGCACACATTACATTTGTGAAAAATATGACAGAATGTATTTAATGGTCTAGTGCAGGGGTGTCAAACTCAATTTCACTGAGGGCTGCATCAGCACTGCAGTTGCCCTTGCGGGGCTGGGTGGGTGTGGCCAGAGTGGGTGCAGCCTACTGGGTGGGCGTGGATGAAATGGTGTGGCCTACTGGGTGGGCATGGCCAGTTCCACATCATTCGCATCAAGGGTGCCTATAGAAGCCTGGGCAGGTGTGGGACAGATCTGAGGGTCTCTGGCAGAAGGGGGTAGGACTGGAGCAAGTGCCAAGGCATGGTCCACCAGGAAAAATGCCAAGATGGCCACCACAAAATTGTACATTGGCTCCCAGCTGGCCTGGGCCAGGGCCAAGGTAGTGGGGGCTGTTCCCTCACTGTTTCCAGGATGGCTTCGTGGGCCACATGAAACCACTTCGCAGGCCGCATCCGGACCCCGGGCCTTGTGTTTGATATGTCTGATCTAGTAAATAGCATCTTGAAGGTGTATATAAGAGAGGAATTCCAGGGCTATCTTGAAAAGGCATAGTTAGAAAGATAGATAGAAATCTACAAAATTTACCCTGAACTAGATTACTTACTAGTTAAGGTACTTTCTTTATATGATTGATGAGATTTGTTTCAGAGCAGTTGGGAACTTTATGATCAGATTACATCCCCAACTATCAATTCTAGACAAGTTCTAGTTCTGCCAGGGACGCAGGATGGAGAGAGGTAGTTATTACCAGCTTGCAGTCCATATTTTCTCCTACTTTTTTTTAAGAAACGAAGTTCCAAAACTGATCAACATGTATACTTGTGGTTTCCATCTACAGACATTGTTACAGATTAAAGAAATATACTAGAAGTTGTGATCTCTCACATGCCATGATTATTGTAAAACATGTATTTAGAGCAGAATTTTAGCTCTTTGTTAGATCTTGCTATTACAAGTTAGTTCACTTAACTTATTGCTGTGTGATTGTAGAAGTTGCATTTCCTTGGCTTGTAATAGTCCTAGATCCTGGGCTGGGCGGATTCCAACTTTAAATTATCTGTTGATGAAATGACCTATTCATTATATGCTCCTGTGAGTCATCCGGTTAGTAAATGAGGTCTTGAGTAGAGCTATTTTGCTTCTGTCAAGTGGAATCAAGATGCAGTCACATGTCCATTCAGGTCTCCATTTGCAGATAACAATCCATGAACAGCAATATAAAATACATTTGTTAAAAAAAAATGCTGCAGTTCATCTGAACTTTTCTCTATTAGAAATGATGCAATCTAGGGACCCCACCCTCAAACCACATAACTTGAAACTGAGTTGATCTTGTTACCTTTACAATAAAGAATTGGAAATATATGGCCTGGAGCACAGTTTTGTTTTGTTTTTTTAAAAAAATCCAGTATCATAGAAGGATTTATGCCTTGTTTGAGCTCAGCTCTTAGAGCAATGTCTTATAAGTCATTCCCGGAAATATGAATAATGGAGGTGGCATATTGTTAATTGTCTTGGCAGCCAGCAGATTTTATTAATCCAAAATAGGCTACTGAACAAGGCTAAATCGGCTACTGAAAAACAACTGGGAGACATCGGCTTGATTTAGAAACCTTCAAGGTTTGCAACAATACAACAATGAAAAATGACTATTGTAAAAGTAACCATAATCACATCTCCCTCCATGCCAATCAGAAAAACAGAAAATTAAGAAAGAATATTATAAAATGTTGGCTACAGTTGCAGAATGAATGGACAAAAATACAAGGACTACTGTATTTTTGCCAGCCATTAAGGTACACGATCCTGGTTTTAATTTTTGACTATGGATGTGAAGAGATGTAGGGTACTCAGTCATTTAATAGGACCAATCTGTAAAACTAATAGGTAAATAAACATACCTTATTAAGTATTTATCAAATATATATGGCCACCCATCTTGTGTGAATTGACTGGTGAAGTACAACAATAATTAAGTGTCATCATTTTTTTTCAAGTTCATTTGCTTGTATCACATTAAATGTGACAGTTTCTGCTTGCTGATCATTGCCTCAAGGGAGCAGTCAATCTTGATATAGCCAAGGGCTGGTTTGTCATTCTTTTTGCATTCCGTAGTCTTTGTAATAATTATTTTCAAATCCATAATTCAAAGGCATCATTCTCTGGCTCTTGTCAGTATCCAGCTTTTATAACTTTATGATTAAAAAAAACCCTATTCTGATATTTGTTGAAGGAGAAGTGTTCGTGATCTTGCTTAAGTTTATTACCGCCTGCCTTCCTTGGATTAATCTCTCCAGAAACCTGCCCATCTTTATCTGTTTTGCTGAAGAAAATAAAACGTCCTGCTGATGTCAGAGGCCTTGTATGGTCAATTAAACGAAAATAAAGCTTCGTGTATTCTCTTGCCTCTTTGTTATCCATCTTATGTTAAATACTCGATCCTATATATCTGTCTTTTCTAGAATTTTTGCATTAATTGGCACTTCTCTTATGAAGGTTTATGCATGATGAATTAATCATATATTAATTTTGTTGCATTAGGAATTAGTGTAATGGTTCAATAATTTATACATTTTCTTGCATCTTTTGCAATCAATGCAGGCACAATCTTTTAAAATTCCCAGGCCATATTGCTAATATTTCTCAGAATTTTAACTGTCTCCTCTGCTGCCGCTTTAAAACATTCTGTGGGCATTTCATCTGTGCCTGGTGCTTTCCTAGTTAATTGCTTGTCTGTTGCCTCTTGCAGCTCATGCTGTAGAAGAATCCATTTCTGAATAATCATTTCTTTGTGCAGATGTGGTTTTTACACCCAAACAAACCCCATTTGTAAAGGGTTTGGTAGTGTTTCCATTTTCTTCTAATCTGTTTATATCTTATCTCTTCCCTAATTCTTGAGTATGATTATTTTATAGTGCTTATAGTGTAAATTTTCTTGTGATTTTTCTGATCTTTAAACCATTGGAATTTTCTTATTCCTCTTTTTTTTTACATTTTTGAGATACCAATCTTTCTTTGACAATGACAGCAATTGTATTCAGTCACCATATGTACCCACAGTACAAAGCTTTCATCTTCCATCTTTCCCTTCTTCCTAGTGTTATTCCCGGGCTCTAGCAGAGTCCTCTTATCTTCCGTCTTTCCCTGACTATCCTAATAACGGTTCT